GTTAGGAGCAAAGTCCCTGCCAGCAGCAGCAGGTCCGGCAGCTGGGAGTCCCTGCCAAGCTGGTGACTGGGCTGGCGAGGTGGGGTTCTCAGCCTAGACCAGGGTTTGGCGTGGCAGGGAGCGCAGCCCAGTGACCGGGGCTGGTGTACCTGAGGGGCTGACCATCAATAGAGAAGCCTTGACCTACCCTTGCCCGGAAGACTTTCTGGTTGGGGACCACTCAAGTCCCCAGGGTGCCAGACCAAGGAGGCCCAACCTGTGAAAGATATGTCTACTTTCATTCTTAATCAAGATTTACAATAAATCAGTGGTCTCTAATGCGGTGCCCGCAGGCACCATGGCGCCTGCCGGGCCATTTCTGTGGGCCCGCTGAGTGACTGGGGCTGGGCCTGCCCTCGGGCGCGTGGCACGTGGGCGGTGCCGGCGCCTGGGCGCACAGTGTATGGGTGGCCCCACCCCCGGTTGCACTGCGTGAGAGCTGTGCCGGACCCGGGAGCGCAGCACAGGGGCGCACCCGCCCCTGGGCACGTGGCATGAGAGCGGCACCGGCCCCAGGCAAACAGCGTATGGCCAGCCCCACCCCAGGCCGTGCAGCACAGGAGCGGCACTGGCCCCGGGAGTGCGGCGCATGCGTGGCGCCGGCACCGGGCATGTGGTGTATGGGTGGCCCCGAGCGCGTGTGCAGCCCCGCCCCCGGGTGCCTGGCACGTGAGTGGCCCTGCCTCCGGGGGACCACTGCAATAAATGAATGCCAGACAGAACACACAGCTGGCATGTGATGTATTACCTTTGAAGGTAGTTCAACACAGACAGATGTACTAGACATTTTTTTTTTAATTATGAAGTACAGGTTGAACCTCTGAAATCTGGGACTCCCTGGTCCAGCAACATGTGTAGTTTGGCAGGATCATGGATGTTGCTGGACCAGAGAGCCCCATCACCTAGAAGTGCAAGCCAGTCAAGAGTCCAGCAGCGGGGAGTTCCACCATCATGACTGGGTGCAGCACAGTGGGGCAGCTGCAGAGCCTGGACCTGGCATGGCGCAGCCGTGGAGCCCCAACCTGGTGCAGCAGCAGCGGGGCAGCCACAAGCCCCTGTTCACGGGAAACCCCAGCTGGGTGCAGAGGCAGCAGGGTAGCCATGGAGCCCTGACCCAGCAGGGCAGCCACAGTCTCCAACAAGAAGCAGGATAGCTATGACTGGGGAGCCCCAGCCAGCTGGCAGAAGTGGGCCTGAGCCAAGCCCAAGCTCTGAAGCAGCAGGGCTGGAGCAGAGCTAGCCAGAGGAAAGGGAAGTGTCCTTGGAGGCCTGTGGCAGGGCACCTCCCCTGATCCAGCAAATTCTGTCATTCGAGACGGGTCAGGTCTTGAGGATGCCGGATCAGGGAGGTCCAACCTGTAGTAATGAGGCAACTCACAATTTGTGAAAAATTGAACCAAACCTCTCCAGAAGTGAACACATTTGATATTGATTAGTTAGAAAAAGAATAGCTCTGAGCTATAATTTATCTTAAAACTACCAGAATTAGTCACTTTAAAATATAGTAGATTTCCTTCAGGCCAGAAGAAGCTGAGTGTGTTGTGAGACTATTAGACTTAAGTGTCTTGCTGATCTTCAAAAATTAATTGGGTAATGTAGGTCAACCGAAAGAGATTTTGAAGGCTTTTTTAGGAGCAATAACTTCTCATGTCAGGTTAAGGAAGTAGGTGGAATGTGTGGCCTCTGTGTGTAGCAGACGTAGGGTATGTCTACACTACAGCACTAATTCGAACTAACTTAGAATTAGTTAATTCGAACTAAGTTAATTCGAACTAACGCATCCAGACTAAAAAACTAGTTCGAATTAGCGTTTTGCTAATTCGAACTAGCATGTCCACACAGAGTGGACCCTGAACCGGGGTTAAGGATGGCCGGAAGCAGTGCCGGCAGGGCATCAGAGGAGGACTTAGAGCGTGGAGATGCTGTCTCAGGCTAGCCGAGGGCTGTGCTTAAAGGGACCCGACCCCCACCCCGGACAGACAGTTCTCAGGGGTGTCCCGCTTGCAAAGCAGTCCTGGCTTGGATTGCCCGGATTACCCACACTGGGCACATCACAGCACTCGGCCATCAGACCGGCTGCACTTGCCGCAGGCTGCCATCTGGAGAGAGGGGGCAATTGGGGGGGCTGCAGGAGAGCTTCCACCCCAAGAAGCCCACAGAGCCAGCCCAGTCCTCCCCGTCGGGGGCGCATAGCCCATTCCTCCCTCACTTCCTTCCACTTACCCTTCCCTAGCCCCTCTTCTTGATGTACAAAATAAAG